AATTAAAATGTGAATAAGTTTTCTAAAAATTTAGTTAACTAGTATATTTCCACAAATTCATATACGTCTTAGTAATTTGGGCATAGTTGGCAGCCATTAAAGAAGCACCCCCTTAATAGTGAATATCAGATGTAACATTCTTACGTACCATTAGCCGACCCCTAACACAAGAATTTTACTGTTGACATCATGCGTCATCCCATTCATAACGGGTCCCACGCTTATCCCCAATTGCATTCCAGAGTATTAAGTACCACATTTAAATTGTCTATCCCTTTATATTTATTTTGCCGGGGAAGCGCCTGGGGAACACTAACTTTGCACAGCAGGGGTGAATCCCAATATAGAACAGGATGTTGGCATGTTCGCAATGTATCAAAAGTCATGCCGATGGTATTTAATTTATTGTGGATGTGTACCGAAGGAAAAGGTGAATTGAACTAACTGACTTTTAAATGTTATAATGTTATTTAAGGCTGTCTCACATCGCGGATCATTTAACTGGTTCGTAAAGTAGAATATAGAATAGGAGTCAAATGTCAGATAACATGTAAGGAGTAAAAGTACACATAAAAATTAAAAATTAAAATATTAGGAGGTCATCATCATCATAAGGTCATCAGTCCTAAGACTGGTTGGACACACACCTCCGATCTTTCATCTCCTGAGCCAATCTTCGAATTTCCCTAAAACTAGAACATCCCATATTCTTAACTATTTTCGAACAGTAATAATATGTCTCTGACTAGGCTTTCATGCCTGAGAAGATGTCCTACTAACCTATATCGCCTATTTCTTATTGACTTTTTGTAATACTTATTCATTTCTAACCTTCTCCATCCACGGTATCTTCAGCATTCGTCTGTATCACCGCATTTCGAACGCTTCTAACCTTTTCTTTTCCGCCGCGCCTCCTGTCCATGTTTCGCACCCGTACAGCGTCATGCTACAAACATACACCTTTAACAACCTTTTCCGAATTTCTAAATTAACCGTTCGCGAACATAGAACTTCTTTTTATTGACGGCGACTCGACCCTACGCTCTCCTCTATTCCCTACTATTCCTTCCGTCCTGACTTATCTGACTTCCTAGATACCTAAAATCGCCCACTTCTTCTAATTTTTCGTCTCCCATCTTTATTAGGAGGTATCAGTTTCAATTCTTTCTATGTATGACATTAAGGACAAAGGAATAAAACAAATTTAGAGTATACATATAGTATATTCGTCCAGTCAAAACTAATTTTTTTTTCGATTCAACAAAGAACGTCTGTGGTTTTTTGTGTCTTATTTTTTCTGGAAGCATTCCAAAATTTTGGCCTAGTTTATAGGTGCACAAAGGAATTTTGAAATTAAGGACGACCCTGGATATAAGCCAAAACGTTGCTATGCCACTGTTGTTTACATATTATGGACTAATAAATTATCTAACATTCGCTTATCGAAAACAATAATGTTGTCAGGATATTTAGATTCATAAACTGCGAAAATGCAGGAATACGAATTCAGAATTTTGTACATACATTGTCAGAAGTACAGAAAAGGACAGAACCAGAAAAAAATGCTGTTCCCGAGGGATAGAAAAAATTAGTTTTGTGTGGTCGTTGATGATCGTTAACACTTATTTTGGACTTCAACCTGAACGAAGTCGTAGGTAAAACCTACAATAAAATTTTGTACATATGTTATTAGGGGTACAGAAAAGGACACAGGGTACCTTTTATCTAGAAAATAAGTACTGTTCCCGAGGGATATAAACATATACTTTTATGTGGTCAGATTTATATACAAGAAGTGTCTAAAAACTATTGATATACTACCCACTAAAAATGCATTAATTTTGGTAGCTATTTTTGTAACAGAATTATAGTTTCTGGCCCTACAGAGTTCATTTTATCTTCCCCATTATTATTTTATTTTTATCCTACTTGTACGATATTTGTGTTGTAATTATATCCTTTCTAGTAAATTTCACATTGACTAAGTGTCACCCCAAAACTTCGGCAATACAAAGAGCTATTTTTACCACCAGTACTCGAACTACTTAATCAATTACAATTTAATGGCAGAAAAAGGCACCTACACAGTAAAGGCCCTATTTTAAGAACGAAGAAAAACAAATCAGTGACGCTGGAGAAATATAAGTAGATATGAATATTCCAATAGACATTAATATTAGAGTTAACGTCGACGGAGGGAGAATAGTGATGAAGAAGCAAAAATACATTCTGTAGAATCAAAATAGCCACGGTACCTCTCCATTGCATTTCTTGTTAGTTAAGAGAGGAATTCTAATTTTTAATTTGAATTTTTAAACGATTGGTATCGAACTTAGGGATACCTCATCAGATGATCTTTATTGGGATCCGTCAAATGGGCATATACCATCTGGTGGCAAAATTTATAACTCGAATGAGGGAAAAATTTACATAGGAACTGTGCACGCAAATTGTAAAATTGTTTATTAAAATAATAAAACACGTTAAAAAAGTAAAAATTTTTTTGATGGTGGAGTCGACGAAGTTTTCTTCTAAAGTTAAATCAAATAAAAAGTAAATATGTTCAGTGAAAAGCTGCAATAGCACTTCAGACATAGATGTTCACTCTTCACCTACATTAATTAATTTCCAATAAAAACTAACCGTTTTATATATGTAAAAAATATATTCGGAAAATTAGAGAAAAAAGTAAACTAATAGAAGCTTGGATGAAAGCAGTAGGTATCAAAGAAGTGAATTCTGGAATAAAAATTTGTTCACGTCATTTTAATGCACATGATTATATTTCAGCAAGTATTTACCATCAGCCATAACCTTAACATTTAAAACTAGAATCATACTAAAATTATAAAGTGAGAAATTATTTATTCCTGTGTAATTGATTTAACACAATTCTAATGATACGATATAAGTATTTTGAGGTTAAGAACCTACCTGCTGCAATACAACAAAGTTGCAATAATGTCTTTGCAACGTTCTCTTAAATCGGCTTTGCACGTGCAAGTCATTGATATGATATTGCTTAAATCACCCAGAATCACCTCACCAATTATATAACGTGAATCACTTTTTAAATCCGAAGTTTGTAAAAAGTAGGCAGTAAACTTGACGGAATTTGAAGGCTGGCTTCCGGATTTGTTATTTCCGAATTTTATAATGTGATTGGCAATTAAAACACGCTCACCTTCAACGAAATATCCTTTCCGAAGCTTTGTGTCAGCCCAATCACATATTGTGTCAATACTTATCATTTTATCGTAATTTAAAAGCTTGGAAATTGCACGGTACACTATAGGAACTACGATAAATTTTCCCTAATCGGCGCCATGTTTTTAGGCTCCTCCCATTTGACGGATCCCAATACTAGCGGTATTTTCTTTTGAAAAATACGACTTGCTATGGGAAAATTACAGTTGTTTTACAATTACTGTTTCTTTTAGTTTAGTTCAACAGAATTTCATTTGATTTTCTTGTAAAATTGAATTGGACAAACTAGAAAATTACGAGACTGCGATAAAGAGTAGGTAGGTAATTAAGTAATAACAAAAAATATTACCTGTAATTACCATAACAAAGAATTTACCCTGCAGGCACGTGTTCTGCCACGAAGTTTCGCCCTGTAGGAACCCACAAGGAAATTACGTGGGTGATACCCGCCTTAGCACATAAGAAAACTGTTTGTCGTGGTAATTAAGAGTGGGACTCTTTTTAAATTCTACATAAAGAATGTACTGAACATACACAAAAGCAATTAACAAGGAAAACTGTAGACTCACAGGTGACACAATAAATGGGTGATTTCATAGTCAAATAGCTCATTGGATTCTAATCATATCACGCATGAAATGGTACTCAATCGATCTTTAATACGTAATTGATAATTAATTTAATGTACCTAAACAATGAGATACCATTCTTACACACAGATCCAACTTATGCAAAATTTTGTTCAATGATATCAAAAAGTTGGACACTTGACCGAAGAAGTGAAATTGATATATGGAAGGTCAGAGGTTACAGCATATGTATTGTACTTTTAAACATTCTAATACTTGTTTTATTATTACGTTTTTATGAGAAAGAGAGAACAGTTTTTAACTGATTTGATGTAATATACGATGAGAATCCAATGAGTTATTAGACTTTTGAAACTGAATTGATTTCTTATAGTAGCCAATGAATTACAGGACTTGGAAATTGCTAATCTATTTTGTCACCGTCTGTATACCAAAATGGCTTAAACTACTCCATTAAGAAACTAAGAAAATTCATGGGAAATATATTTAAAAAATCAAATTAATATCATTATAAATATGACAACAGTAACAACGCGACTTAATGACATGAACTGATCAAGTGGCTACAGTATTAAAGCCCCAAAACATGCCTACAAGGGTTTTATTAATTTCTGATAAATCAGAACCCTTTAATTGAAATTATTCGAGAAAATTCAAATTTCGATTCGCAGCGAATTATCCGATAGAAAGTTACAAAAATCATCTAATAAATGATATTTCTGCTAATATTAAACACTAGTTCTTGTGCGTATGTATACTAACTACCTCTATTATTATGTACAGCGGCTTTGTCGAGTAGGTATATCGCGTGTCGGGGTACCCACATCATTAATCACTATAATGTTTCATGTTTTTATAAGTATAACAACCCTCGCTTGAAACATCCGTTCTGTTTATGGATCATATCCATAAAAAAGGCTTTAAATAAGATCTTAATAAAACCTTTGAACTAAATATGGTTACTTATTATGAAACGCTCAAACTTGAGACACTACCTACACCGCTGCGACATCTGTAGTTCAAGTTACTACAGTACTAAGGCGCTCAGGGTACTGCCAAAATGGTCGCTGAGAGCCATTACTGATATTGTCTACATGGTACTTAGTAGTACTAGCAGTATAACAATGAAATTTAATATTTATATATATAATAATAATTTGTATCTGTAAGGAAATGTATCTAACAATTTGTTCAAACAATTACCTTGATGACTTCTCAAGTCCAAATATTGAGAAATAATAGAATTAACTTCTTCCACGGACTTTGCCATTTTAAAGAACTGTTTTCTAAAGTTTTGTTTCAATTTTGTCACTTTACATTTTAATGTTTTTTACACACCACATATATCCTGTTAACAAGATTTAACTTTGAATTTCTTTCTAATTTTGTTCCAATTATTCCTATTTAACATATAAAACCGTAGTTTTGAAAATGAGTTGTCGATTTCCGAAATATCCCCGTACAAACAGAAACGTTCATTTTCTTGCACCATTTACTTAAGTTTTTGTCAACAACTGCAAGAGGAGCAAACCGCGGATGTTCACATCGAGTTAGGTCCTGGCGCCAGCCGTCACTTTTTTACTTAATTTTTTTGTCCGTCCGGACTACACCACATAATAACGAGAAAGTCTACTGTAATTGCTGATCACAATCGAGGCACGACAAAAACATTAAACACGAACTGTCACACGTCCATTTACACACACATATTCATATACAATTATAATCTGCCTTCTACCGCAGATTACCGAGACGTCTTCTTATTATTCCTACAAATACACTCATCGCAATTTCAAACGCTAACAAGTGACTGCAGGAGATGCACGTGTTACGGAGTATTTAGACGTCGGCGTCGCGACGCGTTACGGCGCCGGCCCTCAGCTGAATCACTACAACGTGACGTCATGCGCAACATTTTTATGCCATTTGCATTACACCCACACGCCGAGAGGGTAGCAACTCTATTGAAACTACCCCAAAGATTTAATAGATGACTAGATATACGTACATATTACAATAGGGTGTAGTGCTCTCAAGGGTAGTTTTCCCTTCGTTTTCCACTTTGATCATTTGTTATGACGTAAATGTCTTTTCTTACAAGTTAATGCCGAATGTTATATGGAATATAATGTTGAAAAGCACACAACACCCACACTGGCATTCGACAATATAATAAGAAATGTGGCTTCTTTAGTAGGTATCAGCACTGAACTTACATAAGGGCATTTGGGGCCGACACTAAGGGCCCCTGTAAAACTGTTCAAATATTTTCATTTTTATTACCTCGATAGTTTAGCGTGAGATAGTCACGGGAACACAGGAATACCTTTGTGTTATCCTTTATTTATATTATGTGCATTAATTCCTTGTGTATGTTTGGAGCGCGGCGTTGTATGGGTGCGAAACATGGACGGAGGGCGCGGCGGAAAAGAAAAGGTTAGAAGTGTACGAAATGTGGTGTTACAGGCGAATGATGAGGATAGAGAAGGTTAGAAATGAAGTGGTATTAGAAAGAATAAGAGAACAGATGACTTTATAGAAGTCAATAGGAAATAGGCGAGATAGGTTGCTAGGACACCTTCTCAGGCATGAAGGTCTAGTCAGAGACATATTAGAGACAGAAACAGGAGTTAGAAGGGGTAAAGGTAGACCTAGATTAGATTTCTGTTCGCAAATAGTTAAGGATGTGGGCTGTTCTAGTTTTAGGGAAATGCGAGGATTAGCTCAGGATAGGAAAGAGTGGAGGTACGTGTCCTACCAGTCTTAGGACTGACGACCTTATGATGATGATGATGACATTAATTATTATCTCAATTGATGCAAAAATGGTAAGAGACATATCGAAAAATAAAACACTATACATATGTACAATGGAAGCCATTTTAATCAATCTGATGATCTCTTGATTTAATAATTTTGTTCTAATTAGTATTCTACAACTGCTTACATTATTCCAGACGATGTTTGGTGATTCACCCAAGTATTTACTAACCATAAAATGTCCACTATTACCTTCAAACGATCAACCGAGAGAAAAATTCTAATGAGCTATTTTAACTATCAACAAATTGCTCAATAAACATTAAATCATTCCCGTTACAGGTAGGTGTCAAGTTTAATTATCTGCGAAATTACTAAAAACTCGTTTTACCCCATTTAACTTGTCTTTCTACCTACCTATTTCGTGGAAATTTAGTACACGAGTTAGAAAATTCACAAAACAAAAGCAAAAACTCCTTGAACTTGTATTGCAAAAAATAAACAAAGATGGACTTTAAATAAAAGTTTTCAGTTTTGTTAAATTTCTTAATTATCCTACTTCTTTTACATTTCCAAAAATCTCCGCTCATCTTCTACGCTATATGTTTTAAGTTTAATAAAAGATTTGCATTATCTGCCGAAAAAAGTACATCTTGGTGCATAAAACAGTGTATTTAAAAATTCCAGATAATTTTTCTAAATGAAATCCCAGATAATATTTCTGGATGCGCCAAACCGGCCCGCCAAAATATGAAATTATAATAATTTATCGAAAACAGACGTCACTTTGTAGTACGATTTCTACGTTAATTCGCGTTTAATTTAAAATTCGTTTTATCTTTCGGAAAGAACACACCCTGATGCATAGTACAGAATCTCCAGAAATTCCAGATAATATTTCTGGATGCGCCAAACCGGCCCGCCAAAATATCAAGTTATAATAATTTATCGAAAACAGACGTCACTTTGCAGTACGATTTCTACGTTAATTCGCGTTTAATTTAAAATTCGTTTTATCTTTCGGAAAGAACACACCCTGATGCATAGTACAGAATCTCCAGAAATTCCAGATAATATTTCTGGATGCGCCAAACCGGCCCGCCAAAATATCAAGTTATAATAATTTATCGAAAACAGACGTCACTTTGCAGTACGATTTCTACGTTAATTCGCGTTTAATTTAAAATTCGTTTTATCTTTCGGAAAGAACACACCCTGATGCATAGTACAGAATCTCCAGAAATTCCAGATAATATTTCTGGATGCGCCAAACCGGCCCGCCAAAATATCAAGTTATAATAATTTATCGAAAACAGACGTCACTTTGCAGTACGATTTCTACGTTAATTCGCGTTTAATTTAAAATTCGTTTTATCTATCGGAAAGAGCACACCTTGATGCATAGTACAGTATCTCCAGAAATTCCAGATAATATTTCTGGATGCGCCACACCGGCCCGCCAAAATATGAAGTTTTAATAATTTATCGAAAACAGATGTCACTTTGCAATACGATTTCTACGTTAATTCGCGTTTAATTTAAAATTCGTTTTATCTATCGGAAAGAGCACACCTTGATGCACAGTAAAGTATCTCCAGAAATCCCAGATAATATTTCTGGATGCGCCACACCGGCCCGCCAAAATATGAAGTTATAATAATTTATCGAAAACAGACGTCACTTTGCAGTACGATTTCTACGTTAATTCCCGTTTAATTTAAAATTCGTGATATCTATCGGAAAGAGCACACCTTGATGCACAGTACAGTATCTCCAGAAATCCCAGATAATATTTCTGGATGCGCCACAGCGGCCCGCCAAAATATGAAGTTATAATAATTTATCGAAAACAGACGTCAGTTTGCAGTACGATTTCTACGTTAATTCGTGTTTAATTTAAAATTCGTTTTATCTATCGGAAAGAGCACACCTTGATGCATAGTACTGTGTCTCCAGAAATCCCTGATAATATTTCTGGATAGGCCAAACCGGCCCGCCAAAATATGAAGTTATAATAATTTATCGAAAACAGACGTCACTTTGCAGTACGATTTCTACGTTAATTCGCGTTTAATTTAAAATTCGTTTTATCTATCGGAAAGAGCACACCTTGATGCATAGTACAGTATCTCCAGAAATCCCAGATAATATTTCTGGATGCGCCAAACCGGCCCGCCAAAATATGAACTTATAATAATTTATCGAAAACACACGTCACTTTGCAGTACGATTTCTACGTTAATTCGCGTTTAATTTAAAATTCGTTTTATCTATCGGAAAGAGCACACCGTGATGCATAGTACAGTATCTCCAGAAATCCCAGATAATATTTCTGGATGCGCCAAACCGGCCCGCCAAAATATGAACTTACAATAATTTATCGAAAACAGACGTCACTTTGCAGTACGATTTCTACGTTAATTCGCGTTTAATTTAAAATTCGTTTTATCTATCGGAAAGAGCACACCTTCATGCATAGTACAGTATCTCCAGAAATCCCAGATAATATTTCTGGATGCGGCTAAGATTCCGCCAAATTATAAACTTACTATAATTTATCGGAAACAGTCATCATTTTGCGGTAGAGATGGGCCGGTACATGAACCTTTGTTCTATTCCATTCTATCCTTTTATTTTTACAATTTAATACCTATTAATATTTATTTTCGGGAAAATAAGTTTTGTTGCTATTGGATGTCTTAGGTCTTATTAATTTTAGCACAATAATGGATAAAAAGTGGGCAAAAAAAACACTGTAGACAAGTAAGCACACTGTAAATGTAGTGCTAACGAGAATTGCAATGAAACAAGGGCGGATGTGTGGGTGAAAAACGTCGTCGAGGGTTGAAGACATTGCAATTTTCCGACAGAGAGCGGTCCGTAATAAAAACTCCGGAAGTAAAGGGGCTTATGTAAACTACGCACTACTTCAAATGATAGGAAATTAATTTGCTTACGATTATTTCTTTGCGATGTTTATAAAGGAAAAGAACGGGTTTTAAAAAGAAAAATCGTAATTGAAATTTGTAATTCATGTTAATAACAGCTACTCAGGGTTGAAATTAATTCGGTTTTTCACTGTTTTCCTATTTATTGCGACTTTAGACTAGTGAAACTGACGGTTGAAGTCTAAACTTGTTAATTTTTCTTTTCATAAAATAGACATAGTTATCATGTCCAAATTAATATTTTTTTTTGTTACAAATAATTTAATAGGAGAATTTACTTTAACCCTTTACGAGTGCAACTCACTATTCATCCTATCGACCGCCTACACCTTCATGGAGGCAGCACCTTACCCTTATCTAAATACATACAACCCTTGCTTTCTAACACGCTAATTTTATTATTGTTATCAATAAAAATCTTGTTTTAAAAATAAAATTGCAGCTAATTCTGGTTAATATTTGAATTGAATTAATTAATTTTCAGTGTTTTCAAAGAACGCAATTAAGTAATGATTTATTTTCGAATAGTTACGTAGCTTTTTATTCATTCAATTTTTTAAAATTCTGATAAAAGAATTAAACCATTATATTACTGACGATTATTTATTATTCAGGACATCAATTTCCTGCAATGCCTTAGTGACCTACTAAACAAACAATATGTTATATTGATATTACCTACAAAAACTTTGCATATATCTATTTAAAATGTATCAAAAGTGTTACAACAAAAAATTGTTTTCATTATCACAATATCCCAAATACAAGTGTATATAAACAAATTATTTTGTTTTTAATATTCCAGAAATAAATAATACTTAATTAAAAGTAACTAGGTACCCAATTAATATATTTATAAGTATATCAATAATTGCAGATATCAATATAAATCAATTTGCAAATGGTAATGGTACCTATACATTCAATTTGCAGTACTTACCTAGTACCTATTGCAATTTTTTTTGCAATATATAATTAATATTTATTTAAATACACCTAATATAAATTACCAGTAAGAGACTGTCTAAAATTACTAAACGTTTTAAAAAAAATTAGATTAAATTCACATTATGTATAAAATAAAAATATTTAACTTACTGTGGATTTTTTTTAATTATGTTACAAGGTTAATTAGTTATTCATGGTCATGTTATCTAATATAACTAGTTTGAACTCTTTTAAAATGCAAGGTTTACTAAGCAATAAAAGCGAAATTTGTTTGAATACTTTTAAGTCAATAAAAGTATTTAATTAATTACTATTATAAGCTTCTCAAATGTGTAAATTATGGTACAGTACATACCTCTAGCCCAGCTGGTTAACAAGCGCACAATCACATAAACAAGCCGAAACTGGATAAATGTGATATAAACAAAATTTCATTTGCAGTAAATATTGTAAGAATGTCACATAAAAAAATCGGTAAGCATATGTAGAAATGTGTAATAAATGTATATGCAACCCTTTAAGCAGCCCAGTAAGCACGGTTGCCGAAGTTATTATAGAGAAACAATAATTTTAAATAAATACGAAAATCCTTTACTTATATCATTACTTTTTAGTAGATTATTTTATTGAATGATGAATTATCTAGAAGTCACAAGAAATTTAACGAGTACCTAATTTTCAGTTAACTATTTATTCTATTTCTATAGCACAGTTATATTTCAGTTTCTAAAACAGCTATTTCTTTCCAAATAAATTAATATGCTGGATTCTGTATTTAAAAATTACCCCAAGATAATAATTATGAAGTAAAATTTAAAACTTAAAAATGCAATAAATGACCAAATTTCATTCCATTCAGAAAGTGTTTTCATATCAGGACATATTAGAATATATAATCAAGTTGTTTTTTATTGTAAAGCTTTTTTTTTGTTCCAATGTAAGCCAATAAGTTTAAATTATTATTTAAATGATAATGTTGAGTTGGAAAACTACTGTTAAAAATATTTTTGTTTTGAATAATCGATTTGTTCGTAGGTTTTAAAATGAAATTATTTATGCACTGATATTAATAAATAAATGTTTCATAAATAAAGTAGGTGCAATATTATAAGGCATTTATTATGTACAATTGAAAAATTAGTATAAAACAAAAAAATGTTTCGTTATAAAAATACTCTTAACAATCAACAAAACGAACATTCTCC